GGGCACCCCTGGGGCACACCCGAAGCGAGGGAGAACGTCAGGGGGGGGACTCAAGGATTGGGCTTTTCGGCCGATCCCGTCAGTCCTCGACGGTCTTCCAGCTTCGGGCTGCTCTCCAGCAGCTCCGCCCCGCCGAGGGCGCCCCCGGGCCACCCGGATCGCCCTGGACGGCCGCCAGAGAGCCGAGTTGTGGCCAGAAGACCACCTCCTCCTCCTCCTCCTCCTCCTCCTCCTCCTTCCCCCTCCTCCTCCTCCTCCTCCTCCTCCTCCTCCTCCTCCTCCTCCTCCTCCTCCTCACTGCCGCTCATCGTCGCGCTGCCGCTGCTGGTCGTCTGGCGCTAGAGAGCAACAGCCACTCAATCCCCGCCGCACGCGATGCTGGTAAAGGTCGTGGCAAGGCCTCGGGACGTGGCAAGTCCCATGGAAAAGAGCGCTCTGTCAAATCCAAGTCACCTCAGCAAGCCTACTTCACCGAGTTGCAAAGCAACATATACTTCGATTCCTTCGACAAGACCGTCTTGAAGCGCCTGAGGGCTTGGTTCCCTCTGATCGGACTCCGCTCTGATGTTCGGCCCTTTTTCACCAGCCTTCTGACAAAGATCACGACCCGTCCACAACGAGCGCCGCGACGAATGCCGAAGTCTCCCTCGCCTACATGAACGAGCTCGCCGAGGCATGGGCTGCCCGCTGGCTGCCCAGCATCTTCATGGACCTGAGCTTCAACGACTTCACCGAGTGGATGGAGTGGTGCGTGCCGTACCTCACGGGAGTCCTGCGGCGTCCACAGTTCGACGCGATTTTTGCCGTCGACGACTTGGCTGGCGACACGCAAAAGAGGCATCGCACTGCCATGGACATCTGCGAGTCGAACGGGCACAAGTCCGCATGTGCGCGGAGCCGTCGAGTCGCTCTCTACGCTGCTGCTCGTCCTTCCGCAATTGTCCAACGCGAGCGAGAAGAAGAAGCTGCTGAACATCGTGCCCGCCGTCGCTGGCTGGCTGCTGATGGGCCCGTTCGCGATGAAGACCGCTGGCTACCTGAAGATACTGCGCGGGGCGGAAATGGACAACAGCCGTCCGACATGATCGAGATGGACGACCTGCCTGTTTCGCCTGCCGCGCATTGGGCCACACTTCGTCGCCACCTCGCCCGTGAGCCTCCGTCAAATTTGTGGCCTACGTTCAAGACGCTGTCGGGAGCCTGGACCACCAGCTACCGCTCGCACGTCAACCTGCACAAGTTCCAGTGCCTGCCGGGCTGCCCGTGCAGCGAGAGCCAGCGCAACATCGACGACATCTCACACTACCTCACATGCCCGCGATTGTGGTCGCACCTACGCCAGCCTCGAGGCGTGGTGTCCGCCCACCTGCTCACGCGCATGGGCCTCAATGGTGAAATCTACGACGGCGAGAACAACATCAGGCACGTCATCGCGCGCGTGGCGGTCGCATTCAAGACATGCAACTTCCTCCGCATTCAGAACAGCCTGACCTCCTGCTCCCCGAGCTCCGGTAACGAGCTCTGGGTTGTGGACAACATCGTCGACCCGTACAACAAGAACGCCGCGGCCGTGGCCGCCTCGCGTCGCGCCCCGAGGCCCCCCTCGCGCCTCGCGGGCGGCGCGGGGCCGCGCGGGCGCCCGTGATATGCAGGATGAACGCTCTCTCAGGGGGTCTTTCGTTCCTAGTTGGCCCGATCAATTGCGAGCGATTCCGCGCCACCTCCTGCGCCCCGAGGTTCGCACGCTTCGCGGGGGCCCTCTCGCCAGGCAGCCATGGCGGCGGCGTGCCCGCGGGCGTCATCATGAACGCCTCCGCGGGGTTGTTGCGGTTCGTCGGATACAATGCACGCGCAGCCTCTCGCGTTTCCCGCGCTGCAGATATCGTCGCAGGATACCCCGCCCACGACATCATCGCGTCCGGCGGGGCCCAGCAGCGCAGCACGGGCGAGCTGATTGAGACCGAGCTCATCGTCGATTCATTTCGGTGCTACAGGTTCGGCTACAAGAGAAGCCCCCTCGTCACCCCGTCGCGTGGCATCAGCATATTACCCAACAAATATCGGTTTCTTCGGCGCTCGGTCAAGCGCATACTTCCTGCACCCAGGCAGCTGCAGGGACGTGCTGGGTGCATACCCGCTCGGCAGCAAAAGCATGCATGTGGCATCATCGGCCTCTACTTCCCCCCTCGCGCCTCCAAGACAGGCCAGAGGCACGCCTACGACAAGGCAGTTTCAACGCTCGTCTCATGGCTGCAGCAGGCAATCGAGTACGTTGATAGCAAACACGCCATTCTGTTTCTTTAAATGGATTTGAATGGAGGGTTGGTGCACTCAGAGGACGATTTCGCTGCTGGACCTCATGGCGTCGGCAACGCCTCACCAGCCTCCGCAGCAGCGCGCCCAGTCCTAAGTGCATGGGGGCTGCGCGCAGCCAACCTTTTTTTTTACCTCAACCCTGCTTCCTTCGTCGGAGAGAGGGGCGAGAGCCACATCGATCACGCCGTCGCCCCTCACGCCCCCCCCCTTCCTGCAGTCGGGTCTCGCTCAGTTCACCCACGCAGCGCACGCAGATTGCAGTTGCACCAGACCGTCTCAGCGAGAGACTACAGACCCGTGGCACTGGTTGCACATACTGTTGCTACCACTGCCCCTCTGCCTGCTCGACCTGCTCGCCCCAATCGAGAAGCCATGTGCGAGCGCGCGCAGCTAGGGCACTAGCGCGAGGAAAACACCAGCGCGATTAATCATACGGTGGAGGAGGCGATGGAGGAGCACGAGCAGATGAAGGAGGAGGAGAGGATCGACTACATGAACATTACCTTCATGCACGCGCTGAACAGCGCTGCACGAGAGGTGTTCACGACCTCGCCGCTGCTCGCAGAAGAGAGGGCATCGAGTGCCCAACAGCTAGGAGGACTGCTAGCACAGCGCCGCCAACTTAGAGAACAGCTCGGACGAGCCCAAACAGAACATTACTGCCATCACGTCATCCACAGCAACAAACATCTCAGTCGCCAACTTCGAGACACAGCGCGGAAACATTGGGAGGAAGTTCAAGCTCGCAGGGCTGATGAGCTTAAGCTTGCACGTGCACAGCGTAATCTCTATATCGTGCACAAGTTGTCTAGGCCTATCCCACGTAAACGACAGCTTGACGCACTGCCCCAGTCCTCTGCGCGCGCGGCCACGCGGGCAGATAGGATGAAGCAGCCAGCAGCTAGAGGGGGCTTTCAGCGACTGAGGCGCCCCTGGACATGATTCGCCAGGAAGTTCGTGACCTGGGCAGGGCTCCCAGAGATGATTTAGATGCCGGAGTGATTGCCATGGGAAGCTACGATGCCATGTCCAAGAAGATTTGGGAACTCAGGTCCTGGAGGACGTGGCCCGAATGGCCCTGCCCCCCCTAGCTGCTTCGTTTACTTTTCCACCCCACTTGGGTCACCGATCGACGACGCAGGGCTCGCGCAGGACTGGGGCTCGGTGATATTGAACGCCCAGAGAATCGCTCTTCTGAACTATTCAAGAAGCTGCTATGGGCACGCAGGCAGGCGCTGGAGGCGCACACCCGCGGCCTGGCGCGCTGCACCAACGGCGCGTCTCCCCGAGAATGCTAAAGTGGACTGCGGCGGCGAACGGATGATCATAGTCATGTGTACCCTGGGTCGAAATTACAATGCTGGGGCATTATCGAAGACTCAACTCCTGGCCCCATCCTGATTGGGTCCACGGTGGACTCGGACACCGACGAAGGGAAACAGCCATGGCAGTCCAGATCATCAGCAGCGTTCGCACGCAGAAAGGTGGAGTTTCCCACCTGCTGAGGTGCCACGACGCCTCCAACGCGTTCTTCTCTTTGAAGCACTCCGCTGCGCTCGACGCTGCAGAGTCGACCCATCTCGAAGACGATTTGGAATCCGCCGAAGATCGCATTACCTGGGGAATCTTCCAAATGGAGGATAAGTGGGGACGTTTCTGGCTACGGCCTGGGATTGAAGTTTTTCTTGGATACTGGAGCCACGCTCTTGCTCGTTCGATCGTTCTCGCAGCCTCTCTCGCAGAAAGTAGCCGATCAGCTTTGCACTCGCGGATGGCACATCGCTGTCGAGGCGCGCCTGCCGCGGGAGGAGCACGTCACAGGTATCAGGCAAGTTGCTACGCCGGCATCACGCCCGCTATCTCGGCGGCCATTTCTCTTCCAGGTTCTTTCCTGCCCCAGAGGTGGGCAGGCGGCTTGTCTCACTGAGTGTCACTTATTTTTCCATGGGCTGTTTTTGGTTCTCCTCGGCACCTTGGAAGCTCGAGGTGAATTTCGTTAAAGGGCCACTTATCAAAGCCGCCCTCTCTCTCTGGGATGGATGGGCTAAGGCTAAGGGGCCTCTCACGCCGCGAGATGTTCAGATCCTGGAGTCCTTCATCGCGCATAGGTACAGGGCCATTCTGGAAGGCGCGCGCTCTTGGGCGCCGGCGCATGCAAGGTCTCTCACATCCCAGCAGGCCCTCAAGAAGTTCGGAGTGGGGCCCCTCTTCATGGAGCTTAGACTACGTGGACTTAGGTGGTAGCAGGAGCTCAGCAAGGCTAAAGAGTTCCACGGGCATTGCTGGGCAGCGATGCTAGGCTCTATGGCAGTAGATGGCGATGTTCTGGTCTATGGACGAGTACCTCCACAGGGGCGCCCATGGGCACTCCAGCTACAACATGATATCGACTTCCTTGAAACCATAGAGGCTGGTTAAGAACTGCTACTTCAGGCGGGTGACCGCCTCGACCACGCGATTCTTAATCCTGATGTATGCCAAGAGTTTCACAAGATCGATGTCAGCGAGCTGCGGGTGCATTTTCTGTTCTCGTCTGCCACAGGCGCAGTCCATCAGGCTGACGGAGTCGAAGGAGGATCTGTCTGTCTAGAATACTTGGGCGACGGCGCGCGCTGCTGCACCCGATGGCCCCCCCAAAAAAAAGTCATCGCCCACATTGCGCCTACGAAAGGAGGGGCCCATGGAAAAACGACATGTAGCCAGATTATGTACTCCGACTAGCACACGCACACTATTTGGAAGTGCATTTCGTGACCGTACTATTGCACAGCAGCACACAACAAAGAGCCTGGTCAAACAAGATTGCCCATACAGCTGCAGAAGACATGAAGCAGAAATACTCGAGCTCAGCAAATGGAAATGCAACATACGCGATGAAGAGTCCGAATCCGTAGACGCCTTTCTCGAACACTTGCTCACGCATCTCACCCCACACTTGAATTCCACCTTTCACGTTCGACCCCATGGGGAATGCAGGGTCCGCCTCGGGGATGGCGCGGCCACGCGCCAAGAGCTCATTGCAAGAATCATCAAGACCTGCGCAGAAGCAGCCGAAGACGGGGGAGGAGGAGGACCACGACAACGATGTCTCGTCAATGGGCGAGCCGCCCAACAAGAACGCGACGAGGGACGCCTTGCCGGCGCAGCTGGAGGCCAGGGTCAGGAGTCTCAGGCATGCCGCCTTCAGCACCGCACTCATAGCGAGGACGTCCCCAGCCATCGATGCCATCGACAACTCGTTCCAGGACTACCTCAAGCAGCGCAAGAACGAGCAGAACAAATGCCATGAACTCTCGGGCCCCGCATCCCAAGCCCTTTTCGCAATTCTAGCCGTTATCGCCAGCTTCAAGTTCAAGGATACTTCGCTAAGGATGAGGCTGCAGAAGGCTTGCGCTCATGATGCAGAGATCGTCGCCTCTGCAGATGTCTGCTTGGGTGCGGGAGCTGGTGGCCCTACCAACTTACGACAAGCCGAACACCGAGCAGAAGTCTCGCATGACGTTCGCGCCGCACGGCAACACTCTGACCCTGTACGAGGACGAGGTCGCGACCGAGCTCGAGCAGAAGCTCAATGACGCGGTCGCGGCCAACACCACTTACAAAGGGCTGATGACCAGCCCGATCGCGGTCCCTTCGGAGATGCTGCAGGCCCCAGGCATCTGGATTCCAGTCGAACAGATGATCAGCGAGGCCATCAGGGGCATGAGAGGTGATGCGAGGATGAACCGCGCCCCGAGGAACAACATGAGCCGCCAATTGGGCGGGGGAAAGCGTCGTAGTGTCAAGAAGTGAGTCTGAGTCCCTGCGGCCATGCCTTCGCGCTGGGCCTTCTGGTGTGTTAGGCCATCAGCCTGCTGCCCGCCGCCGCCTCTCTGCTGCTGTTCTTTGTGTGTTTGTGCAGTGCAGTGTGCTGCAGCAGCAGACAGTGTAGAAGATGCTGCAGGTGTTGCAGGTAGCAGCATGGTTGCCATCAGGTGATATGACGACAGGGGCGTGTAGCAATGTTTTCCGTGCCCCAGCCCGAGCCAGTGTTTCCAGAGTTTCAGCAGTCGGTCTTGAAGCGCTTGAGAAATGAACTGAACGCCTCCTCCTCATCATCCTCCTCCTCCTCCTCCTCCTCCTCCTCCTCCTCTTCCTCCTCCTCCTCCTCCTCCTCCTCCTCCTCCTCCTCCTCCTCTTCCTCCTCCCCCCTCCCTCCTCCCCCCTCCCTCCTCCCTCCCCACTCCTCCCCCCCAGATCGACGACATGACGCTTTCAACCGCGGTGGTGTTCAGCAATGTCGGCCCCCAGGGCCCGCGGCCAGGCCCCAGGCCCTCCAGGAACGGATATGGGGCGCAAAACTGGCCCAGGTGCTGGGGTCGGGCTCTGCCCTGACTTCGGATCCGCCATACGTTGGCGGATTTTCTGCCCTGGGGAATTTCGAGGGGCAAAAATACCCAGGCGCAATTAATCGTCGATTCCCAGGAAGATATGGGAAATTATGCGAAGTGAGGGGAGGGGGAAGACGAAACTCCAGAAAGTAGAGGCGAATGCGGGGAATATGGGGGCTAGTTGCTTATTTATGTGTGTGTGTGTGTCCTTGGGCCCCTTCCAATTTGTGTCGAAGATGCACCCCGAACGATGCGAAAAAGTGGAGCAGGAATTCCTGCTTCGGTGACGTGGTATATCCGCAAAGGTACGGCGGAAAGCGAAAGTCGGCATCAAAGGAGCTTGCAAAGCATGGTGGGCACACCAGCCCTACTTACGAAGTCGCCCAATGCACGGCGGATCCGAAGTCGCCACAGGAGTGCAGAGGCTCTTACGTCCTCCCACCGCGCAAACGTCGTCGCAGTCGTCGTCGGAATGTTCGTTGGTTCGTGAAGGTTTTGCCGCCTCCTCGCCGAGGGTTTTCTGGGGGTGCCCAGATCGTCCCAAACGGTTCTGACATCGGCAGGCATCGTGCGGCGAGGACAAGTCTTCCCCCCCCCCAGGAGTGAAGGGGAAGGGGGGGCCCTGAGATCTGGACAAAATACCGCAGAAAGATTGGGTTTAGGGCTTAAGCCGTGATTTTTCGCAATACTGTACGACGTCGGAGTTCTGGGAAGGAGGAGCGGGATGAGGAGGAGGAGGACGAGGAGGAGGAGGAGGAGGAGAAGGAGAAGGAGGAGGAGGAGGAGGGAGGGTGGAGGGGGGCGTGTTGAGATGGCGGGGGGAGGAGGGGCTGGAGGGCAACGCAGGAGGATTGAGAAGGAGGAGGAGAACGGAGGACGGAGTACAAAGAGGACCGAGGAGGAGGAGGAGGAGGAGGAGGGAGGACGGAGGAGGCTGGAGGCAGGATGGCAGAGGAGGACGGAGGAGGACGAAGAGGAGGCAGGGTGTAAATTTGGCAGAAAGAGGGCATCAACAAGTCGCACCCGTCATAGACGCACTAGGAGGACGAGGACAGAGAAGGACGGAAGAGAAAGGAGAGGGAGTGAGGGAAGGTCCAGACGTTTCTTGAGGCGTCTAAACCAAGCCAAGTCATGCCAATGTTTTCTGGCATCATGATCCATCCTCCCTGCTCATTTCTCTTATTCTTCACCCTACTGACCACCACCCCCTCCTTCATCCTTAAAGCGTCTCGTCATGATCCTTGTTCCTGAAGCGTTCCCCCCTCGAACCTCCCACCATCCGCTCCTCTCCTCTTTACAAATGATTGAATCGCTTCGCTCATTCCGCCGGCCCTGGAGCGCTATTTGGGGCCTCTTGGGGCCGTCTTGGGGGCTTGGGGGCTTCTTAGGAGCGTCTTGGGGCTCCTTGGCGGCGTCTTGGGCTCCCCTGGGGCCTCTTGGGGGGCTCTTGGGGGCCCCTTGGGGCGGGAGGGGGGGCAGTCGATTGCAGCCCCCCCCTCGGAGGCCACGATCCTCGTGAGGGGTGGCGAAAAATAGCCTCCCCCTAGGGATCGCCTGGGACTCGGCCGGGGATCAGCCGGGGTACTTTTCGTCCGGGGCCCCCCAGGGGCCGCCCCGCGCGCGCGAACTAGAAAAATTGTTAAGTAATTACCGGAGATCTGAGCACGCCTCTGGCCCGTTGGGCTGGCGAATTCGCTCCTCACTCGTCCCACCTTCTTCTCCCTCATCATCTCGTCCTCCTCCTCATCATCATCATCATTATCATCCTCCTCCGTCCTCCTCCTCCTCCTGCTCCTCTCCTTCTCCTCCTCCTCCTCCTCCTCCTCCTCCTCCTCTTCCTCCTCCTCCTCCTCCTCCTCCTCCTCCCTCTTCCTCCTATTCCTCCTCCTTCTCCTCTCCTCTCCTCCTCCTGATCCCTGAGTCCTGATTCTTGATTCCTGATGGCTGAGGAGGACGTCGTCATTCTCAGCCCGCCTCCTCCTCCTCCTCCTCCTCCTTCTCTCTTCGTCTCCTCCTCCTCTTCCTCCTCCTCTCCTCCTCCTCCTCCCTCATCCTCCTCCTCCTCCTCCTCCTCCTCCTCCTCCCTCCTCCTCTCCTCCTCCTCCTCCTCATCCTCCTCCTCCTCCTCCTCCTCCTCCTCCTCCTCCTCCTCCTCCTCTCCTACTCCTCCTCCTCTCTCCTCATCCTCTCCTCCTCCTCCTCCTCCTCCTCCTCCTCCTCCTCCTCCTCCTCTTCCTCCTCCTCTTCCTCCTCTTCCTCCTCCTCCTCCTCAGCTCTTCCCCCCAAGCGTTCTCCCCCCTTATCTCCAGATCGAGAAGGAGGAGGAGACGGAGGAGGAGGAGGAGGAGGAGAAGGAGGAGGAGGAGGAGGCCAGAGGCTGGAGGCCAGAGGTCAGAGGAGGAGGAAGAGGAGGAGGAGGAGGAGGAGGAGGAGGAGGACGACGAGGGCGAGGAGGAGGAGGAGGCAGGGGGGAGGAGGGAGGTGGAAGGAGGGAGGAGGAGGAGGAGGAGGAGGAGGAGCAGGAGCAGGAGGAGGAGGAATTTCCCGAGACGTACCCATAAACTTCTCCACGCAAGGCGTTTTCTTTAATGAACGCGACATACAGAAGAACGCACTGCGAGATATGCAGCACCTTGAAATGATTCGCCGAACGACGTTGGGTAATGCGGTATGTGACGTTCCAGCGCTTTGCGCTCTGTGATGCAATAGCACCGCGCGCTAAATGACGCGACGGCGCCACGCGCAATGTAGGCACGCGCCATGTGGGCGCCTTGCAGCACTCCTCCGTGACTCCCAGGAGCCCACGAAGTGGCGACAGTTGCGCCGCTCGCAACCAAAAGGGAGCCGCGAGGTCTCACATGATCTGCGCTGCCCTCACCTCGGCCGTGCCTCCCAGGAGCCCGCGAAACTGGCGACAGTTGCGCAGCTCGCAGTCACCCAGGGAGCCGCGAGGTCTCAAAGTGATCTGCGCTGCCCTCACCTCGGCCGTGCCTCCCAGGAGCCCGCGAAACTGGCGACAGTTACGCAGCTCGCAGTCACCCAGGGAGCCACGAGGTCTCAAAGTGCTCTGCGTTGCCCTCGCATCCGCCGTGCCTCCCAGGAGTCATTGAAGTTGCGACTAGTGCGAAGTTCGCGGGCACCCAGGGAGCCGTGAGTCCTCGGCCGGATGCGCGTACAACTACAAGTCAGTGGACCTCCTGGTAGCTTGCGATAGTGGCGACAGTTGTGCAATTCGCAGCCCCCCACGGAGCTGCGAGATCTCGTCTGGATGCGCGTACAGCTTCACTCCGCTGGACTTCCTTGGAGCCTGCGGAAATGGTAACAGTTGCTCAGCTCGCAGCCTCTCATGGAGCCGCGAAGTCTCGTCTGGATACGCGTACAATTTCACCCCACTGGACCTCCCAGGAGCCCACGAAAGTGGTGACATTTGCGCAGCTCGCAGCGCCCAGGGAGCTGCGAGGTTTCGTCTGGATGCGCGTACAACTTCACTCCGCTGGACCCCCCGAACCCCCCCACGAAAGTGGTGACAAGTGTGCAGTTCGCAGACTCCCAGGGAGCAGCGCAGGAGGAGGGTGGAGGCAGGAGGAGGGGAGAGAAGGAGGGGGAAAGGTGAGAGGAGTGAAGACCACAGTGCCCTGTCCAAAACGAGAACCCAACCGAGGTAGGACTGACAAAATAAGGAGAAGAGAAAGAAGAAGAAGAAGAAGAAGAAGAGGAGGACGACGACGACGACGACGAAGAGGAAGAAGAGGAGAAGGATGAAGAAGAAGAAGAAGAGGAGGAGGAGGACGACGACGACGAAGAAGAAGAAGAGAAGAAGAAGAAGAGGAAGAAGAGGAGGAGGAGGACGACGACGACGACGAAGAGGAAGCAGAGGAGAGGGAGAGAATGTCGCTGCTCTCCGCCGCGCTCGCCGCAGGGCGGGCGCGCTGTTCCACTGGGCCGCGGGGCGGCTGGAGCAGGCGCTGACCCCCGAGCCCCTGGACCCGGAGCCCGGCCCGCCGACGCCGCCGAGGCGGGACGGTCCCGACGACGACGACGACGACGACGACGACGACGACGACGACGACGACGACGACGACGGCGACGACGGCGACGGCGACGACGGCGACGGCGACGGCGACGGCGACGGCGGCGACGGCGACGGCGACGGCGGCGTCCTCCTCCCTCCCACCTCTCCCTCTCCACTCCCCCCCGCCCCCCTCCTTGCCTCCCTCCCTCCCCCCTGCCCTCCCCTCGATCCCCCTCCTCCGTCCCCTCCCTCCCTCCCCTCCCTCCGTCCCTCCTCGCCCTCCTCCTCCTTTACAGCCTCCCTCCGTCCGTCCTCGCCCTCCCTTCCTCCCTCCTGCCCTGCTCGTCGAGGACGACGAAGACGGTGACAGCGAGAGAGGGGCGACACCCGCTTTCTATTCTTCCTCATCCTCTCCTCCTCCTCTTCCTCCTCCTCCTCCTCCTCTTCCTCCTCCTCCTCCTCTTCCTCCTCCCTCTCTCCTCCCTCCTCCTCCTCCTCCTCCTCCTCCTCCTCCTCCTCCTTCCTCCTCCTCCTCTGTCTCCTCCTCCTCCTCCTCCTCCTCCTCCTCCTCCTCCTCCTCCTCCTCCTCCTCCTCCTCTTCCTCCGCCTCCTCCTCCTCCTCTTCTGTCCCCCCCTCTCCATTCATAATCGTCGTCGTCAGCGTCCTCATCATCCTCATCATCAGCATCATCACCAGCAGCATCAGCATCAGCATCAGCAGCAGTATCATCATCAACAGCATCATCCGCATCATAGTCATCATCATCCAGATCATCACCACAGTCGCCATCATCATTATCAACAGAACTATCATCATCATCATCATCATCATCATCATCATCATCATCATCATCATCATCAGCAGCAGCAGCAGCATCATCTGCAGCATCAGCGTCGCCTTATTTTTCTTATTCGCCGTCATCAGTATCAACAGCAGCATCATCACCTTCGGCACCGTCATCGTCATCAGTATCATCTTTATCAGCAGCAGCAGTCGAATCATCATCAACCGCATCATCAGCATCAGCGTTATCAACAGCATAGTCATCAGCATCATCATCTTCGTCCCCATCTTCATCATTATCATCATCGCTATCATCATCGCTATCATCATCATCAACATCCTTATCCGTAACATTATCATCGGCATCATCATCCGCATCATCGTCAGTAGCAGCAGTATCATCAGTATCGTCCGCAACATCATAATCGTCATCATCAGCAGAAGCATCATCAGCATCAACATCGTCATCATCGTCATCATCATCCTGATCGTCATCATCATCAACAACATCAGCATCGTCATCATCATCATCGTCATCGTCATCGTCATCACCCTCATCCTCGTCCTCCACCTCCTCATCCTCCTCCTCCTCATCATCCTTTTCCTGTCCCTTCTCTTCCTCCTTCTCCTCATCCTCTTCCTCCACCTCCTTCTCCTCATCGTCCTCCTCTTCCCCCGATCATCATCATCATCATCATCATCATCATCATCATCATCATCACCATCATCATCATCATCATCATCATCATCATCATCATCGACATCATCATCACCACCATCACAATCGTCATCATCATCATCATCGTCCTCTTTCTCCTCCCCCTCCTCCTCCTCCTCCTCCTCCTCCTCCCCCTCCTGATCAGCAGCAGCAGCATCATCATCTTCTCTTCCGTCTCTTCCATACATCCCTTCCTCCTTTTCTTCTTCCCTCCATCTTCTAGCCGTGCCTCTGCCGCGGGTTGCCGATTGCACTGCCTCTGTTCTGCTCCGCCATTTGAGCCGTGCGACATTAGGAGAAAGGTTGACATGTACCTCCCTCGCGACACAGTCTGAGTGCGAAGGTTGGATGTGTTGCGCCGCTGTCTCGTTTGCGGGCCGCACTGGGGGCCGAAGATAACTCTGTCCCATCAGGCACACGTGTCTCACGAGCGTGGTTCCCACCTTTTGCTTCGGTCAAGGATACTTCGCCGGCGTCACACCAGAACCGCCCTTGATGTTGTCTCGCCCTCTTGCTGTGCACACTTGTCCTGGCCTTTATTGCTCACTGCACTTGCTTACTGGGCGCCCGTGCAGAAGTATTTTGTATTCAAAAGATGCTGCTAGCTCCAGCGCCGCACCTTTCTGACAGGCTATCGGCTTCATCAGCGTCGCAATCCTTCAATCCTCCCTCTCCCTCGATCCATCCATCCTCCCCCTGCTCCCCCTCCTCGTCCTCCTCCCCTCATCCTCCTCCTCATCACCCTCCTCTGGTTCCTCTTCTGTTTCCTCCTCTTAGTCCTGCTCCTCATCCTCATCCTGCTCCTGCTCCTCCGCCTTCTCCTCCTTTTCCCTTTTCCCAGTCCTCATCCTTCTCCTGCTCCTCCTCCTCGTCATCTCGGGTACCTACGACCCCGTGTTTTTGCCTACGTTGATGAGTTGACCCAGAGTGTGCAGGGCACGTGCCGACATATGTGCAAAACGCGGGCTTCAACAGCACTGGACGTTTGCCCGAAAATTCGGGTCTGAGGTTGTAGCATGTCAGTGGAGTCGCGTGTCGTGGCCTCCTCTGGCGCATTGAAGAAACCCATTCCAGTACCTTTGTCGACGGGCCCACGTTCCTTTTATGCTGGCGAGCACGGTGACATGTGAGAGTTGGATCTACGGCGGGAAAGAGACCAACGATGTGGAAGATGCAGCAGAAAGGACAGGAGGCCACTAGGATTGATTGGCCAGCATGAATCAGAGAGTGAGGAGATTGTGGAAGCCTGCAGTTGGCGCCGCGAACACTTGGTCGCATCAAGTTCAAGGCGATCCACCTTTCCGAGTCCAGCGTGCCCGTGCTCACGCTGCCAAGGCAACGGAACGCTGGGGTGCGGGAGCTTGCACTACCTCGTCCCTTGCGTTAGGTAACGCTGCCCGTGATAATCTTGGATGAAAAGCTCCGGTGCTGGTTAAATGGAGGAGGCTTGATTGAAAAAATTGCCTCAAAACAAAAATCGATGTTCTGAACGTTTGGAGCCAATTCAAAGATAGATTTAAGAATCGGCAACACCCCAACATACTTATACTATATGTGCGTCGCCCTCCCAGGGGCGACGCGCGCACCGAGGAATCTTATAGTATATGCGTTGTGGCGGGCGCATTCTGGCCACACCGCTCGGGAAACGATATACTACAAGATGGGTATACTATATGTTCGGGTCGGACGCGCGTGTCCAAGGATGACATATAGTACTAGTACGTCTTTGTGCATCCCATAAGAATGCTCGGAATCATGTGCGGCGGATGGTATGAGGCCCCATTGGGGCTGTGGTTGCTACCGTTCGTGGGTTCGGAGGTGACTCCGGCAGCCCCATCAAATGGTTATTTAATCGCTTCGCTCACTCCGCCGGCCCATCTCGCATCGCTGGTGCTATATATGTTCGTGTGTTCGTGGCGAACGCAAAGGTGAAGGAGGAGAAAGAGGGGGGATGAGGATGAGGAGGAGGTTTCTGGAGAGCTTTGTGTGTCAAGTTGGGGCGGAACTGGTCATGGACAAGGCGCCTTTTTGGGAGTCTCTTGGGATCTTCTGGGAGGCCTCTCGGGGGCCTCTTGGCAGTGCGCTTTCGTTCGAGGATTGAGAATCGGTGACACAGAGGGGAGAGAAGGAGGAGAAGGAAAAAAAAAGGAAGGGTTGGTGAAACGATAGGAGGCCTCTTTGGGGGCCTCTTGGCGGTATGTCTGACACCTCCTGGGGCGGTACGGGGGCCTCTTGGGGGCCTCTTGAGGGTCTCTTTGGGCCTTTCGGGGGCCTCTTGGGGCCTCCAGGGAACCTCTCTGCGCCTGGAGCTCGAAATGTCCGCTCGTGTCCCTCGTCTGGGCCCGCTCTTGGAGCCGTCTTGGGAGCCTCTTCGACCATCTTCGAGGCCTCTGGGGCTGTCTTGGGGCCCTCTGGGGCAGTTGCGGGCGCTATTGGAGGCCTCTTGGGCCGTGTTGGGGCGATCCTGGAAGCTTCTTAGGCCGTCTTGGAGCGCCGGTGAGCCCCCAAGGCGAGAACGCCAAAACTCTTCAAACAATGAAGGGAAAGCGCTAATTTCTGCCTCTGTGGGGCCTCTTGGGCGTCTCTTGGGGCCTCTTGGGGGCCTCTTGGGGGCTTTGGGGGGGTCTCTGGGGGCCTCTAGGAGGCCTCTTGGCGGTTTTTTGGGGTCCTCGTCGGGTTTCCAGGGGACCTCTCTGCGCCTAGAGCTCGACATGTCCATGAGGGTCCCTCGTCTGGGTCCGCTCTTGGAGCCGTCTTGGGAGCCTCTTCGGCTCTCTTGGAAGCCTCTAGGACTGTCTTGGGGCCCTCTGGGACCGTTTTGAGCGCTCTTGGAGGCCTCTGGGTTGTTGTGGGGGGCGATCCTGGAAGCCTCTTGGGCCGTCTTGGAGCGCCATTATGCCTCCAAGGCGAGAACACCAAAAATGTCAAAAACTATATTGCAGAATCACTAATTTCTGCCTCTGTGGGCCCTTTTGGGAGGTCTCTTGGAGGCCTCTGGGGGCGTCTTGCAGGCGCTTTGGGCTGTTTGGAGGCCATATCTGGCGTCTTGGGTCGCTCTTGGGCCGTCTCGGGCCACATTGAGCTCTCTTGGAGGCCACTTGAAGCGCTCCTGGACGCTCTTGGGAGCCTGCTGGGACCTGGCCGGGACCTGCCCGGGACCTGCCCGGGATCTTGCCGGGACCTTGCCGGGACTTGCGGATGTATTTTTCGTCCAGGGACCCCCAGGGGCGGCCCCGCGCGCGCGAACTAGAACATTGTTAGTTAGTCACCGGAGATCTTAGCACGCCCTTGGCCTGTTGGGCCGGCGAATTCCAGGACAGGAATTATGAGTTGATCCAAGAGGTGTTAAGTTCCATGTGTGGCATTTGGCGGCAGAACGTTGGAACCCAGCTGTGGCAGCGAGCTGCCCAAGATTTCTGCGGCATTATATTGCAGGGTGAAGTTGGCTTCATGAGTTGTGTCGTTCTGGGAAGCAGATGCAAAAACAAAACGTCATCGAGA